ACTTGCCTTGGAAAAGACAATCAACCTACAAACTTCAGAAGTCAATTCCACTTCATTACATAAACATAATCATGACTGAATCTATCAGACCACTATGGGAGATTATGCTGATGTTTTTTTAGTTCCTAAAATCCTTGGGATACATGTGCAACCTTTATTGTCAAAATGAGACCTCCAATAACAGAGTTTGGCCAATAACTCTCATCTTCAGAATGAACATTTCAGGACTTTTGTATGCTATTTATCCTGTGTTATTGATGAACAGGATCGATATTGAAAACTATCTAATGGTTATCAGATAGTAGCTCTTCTAATTGAAACCCAATGAGATACCAGACACCAAGAAGCAGCTCAATTTTGTAAGCCACGCATATACGCATTGCGGACCTATTTTTACATAATTCTTGGACAATGAACTGTGAACAATATTGATATTTTAATTGCTTGTATATTACTCTGCATAGTTGTTTAGAGGGGAGATGTCATTATATATGTCTTATCTCACTCTAACCACATGGTCTTTATTAAACATGGCAGAAGTCTGCAAAACTAATACAAGATAGTATCCTGTTAGTATCAAATTTCCATATGCACAAGTTCACAAATTTTGATGCCACAACCCAAACCTTCCTTTGCTTGGCCAAACCAGATCATATCATTTTCCATTTGTACATCACTTTTTTACTCACATTGTAATACATAATCTTTGTTTAGGGTTTTCTTATGCTTGCAATGGGTGAACTGGGTGAAATTAAAAATACACATGTGAATTCTACCAGTTTATTTTAATTGTGACTCTCATCTGCAGAAGTGTTGATGGATTTAGCCGCTCATGTTTACATAGATAATTGAATTAATCAATCCACCAATGAATTCTTACTGTACCCACAGTGTGTGTTTCCTATCAGATTGTAAACAATTGTTGAGTTACCCATTGCTTTACAAAAAATAATTAAAAGTCTCTCACTTACTCACATTCTAGCTAACCACTAACCATGAGAACATGGTCTTCTTCACTTTTCACAGCAAATGCAGCCTTTGTTAATAAAAGTTTATGTGCTAAGTCTTCAAGGGCTGCTTTCATTATTCTCTCTGTATTTTTAGCTTCAAGATAGGATTTTTATGACAAAATTTTGAAACATCTTTGCAAAAAAGTTCCGAGTATCATACATGTGTGTCATCAACAAGTACACTGTTTTGACAATTTTGATTTTCTAACTGGCAGTTGAAAAGAACTATAATTGTTGTTTTGATTGGTCCAAAAATCTTTAACAATTTTACTTCAACACAAAGTTGCTTGGAAATTATTTTGAGTAACTGATGATGTTTACTTCTATTTTGTGCATGATGAATTTACCAGAAATACACAAAACAAACACTGCCAGTGAAAGAATGAATCCAACAATCAAAGACCAAGGAATTCGAAAAATAAATAACAAGGTGAATATTTTGACATTGACTATTGTTTTCTTTGTTATTTATTTTTCTGTTCTAAAAACTTGACTTGAATCTGACAAAGTATACCTGGGAATTCACAACAAAATACCTGCAGGCACCAGGTCTTAATGAAAGCACTGGCTTCAAGGTATTGAAAGTTGACTGTCAGTGTTAATTTGGCAATCTAAAGTCCAAAACTGTTATGAGTGGTTAAATCTTCTTACCAACTTGGTCCATTAAAAGTACATGTCTCCTCAAGCTACCTTTCCAACAGTCATTTACTACAAGCCCACTAGCACTTTCACTACAATGTATATGTGACAATGCAATAGAGCATGGAAGGAACAACACTAATGTAAACTGGTTCTGGTGTGAATTGACATGGGAAAATACACCACACAAAACCCAAGACTTCTTACTTTTGTTGGTCCTTTGACTTGAGAAATCCATCAAGCACCATCTGTTTTCTGCCATCATGAGAATTTGGTCTCTTTCTTTTCCTGTCCACTTTGGCTTGTTTTTCATTCTCACCACTGTTGTGCATTTCGAAGGCAGTGAAAACTTTCCGCATGGCTGTGGAAAGAGCTGCAGTATCTAAGTCTTCTCTTGTTATCCACCTTATTTTGCTTTTTTCTTGGGAGGTTTGAAGCAAATGCTTGATTTCAGGGTGCTCATATGAAAACACCATGTACTTATGATGAACGTGCGAGAATTTATGAAAAACCTCTGCTATTCTTTTTTGAGTCCTCTGTTTGAGGGTGATACCCAGGTTGTTTTCCAAGAAGTTACAAAGGGTAGTAAACATGTAAGCATCGGATTGATTTGATTCTACAGCAACATTAGGGAAATCCCACAAGCCTGCTAAAAGTCCTGTTTTGGGTCTCTGAGTCAACAGAAAATGAGATCCCACCTCCATGTCATGTTTAATAACAACAACAGCCAAAGTCTCCTCTTTAGGTTGTTTCCGTTTAGGTTTCTGTGGGTAATTGCAAACACCGAGGGAGGGCTTCCACAATGAAGATGGTAGGCAAAGGATACATTCTTCAATGTCAACATGTTTATCAACTTTTATGCCATTGCTGGATGTTAGTCCTTTTTCTTTATGCAGAATGGATACTGGAGTGTCCTGTTTCACTACTTGCTTTAAAGCACTACAATCCCTTTGCAGAGGGCATACATGACACCGTGGAGCTTGAGGTGTACACAGTGTTGCTCCAAATTCCATTAGAGCCTGATTAAACTCACCAGGTCTATCTTGAGGAACAAGTTTATGAGAAAGCTCCCAAAACTTCCTCTCAGCTTGAGTACTGGAACTTACAGCACCAATACCACAAAGCCTTGATAAAACTCTAATCACATTTCCATCAACTATTCCAGTGCACTCACCAAATGAAATGGAAGCAATAGCGCCTGCAGTGTATTTACCAACTCCTGGTAGCTCTTTCAGTAGTTCAGATGCTGTGGAAGGTATGTTTCCTTTCATTTTCTCTACAACCTGTAAGGCATAAAATGCATTTTAGAGCAAGTAATACTGATGGGACCTTTCAGGTCAATTTTTTCTAATGCATTTTTCCTCTTAATCAACTGTCATCATCCATTTCTGTAATTATATGGCCTTTCAGCAAGCTGCAACATAAATGGTTGGTTTCATATTTTCAGAACCTACTTTAACCAGTCACTCAAACCTTTCAATTTTTCTTGATATCATGACTCGAAAGCCTGCTTTCATCTTGTAGGGCTAATTTTTATAAATTGTTCTCCATTAGTCACTTTCTGTTCACTTAGACCCATAATTGGCTTCCATTCATGAATGGTGTACTGACTATAGTCGTCCTTTTCAGAGTGATTCAATCAACAGGTATTTAAAATTTGGTAGATTTTGGTTTTAACCCAGAAGCCAATGTCTTGTGCATAAAAAAAGGAGTTAAGGATGCATAATAAACCAAGAACAAATTTTAATAAAAAGATGCACAATAGGGCAGTGTCATAGAAGACAGTACAGATAATCAAAAACCAAAGCAAATGGAAGGCTCCTTGGAGCTACTTCATGGTGTGTTTTAATTATTCAATCGAGTCATGAGAACTTTAACCCCTTTGCAATCTCCTTCGAATAATGTTTGACATACCCTTAATTAAAAGACCAGTTGATTTAATATTAATTTTAAACATGTTGGCCTTGGAAACAAAAATCATATGCACAATATCAACAGACAAAAGATCCCTCCAAGACAACATTTGGTTAAAAGTCAGACAAATCAAAATATTTCAACCTGTAATGTTGGGACTGCTGTCATTTTCGATTTTAAGACTTTGATGCCCCAATCAGATTGCCACATTAAGTATGTGAGAAACATACCCTTATGGGGCAATCTGATTGCTGTGAGATACATACCCTTATGCAGCGATCTGATCGGTGAGAGCAACACGCCACTCTACACGCTAACACAGAGTTTTTTTTTTTGGAAAAAAATAACTCAAAAATATTCTGCGCGAATATTTCGTAAATGTTTGTGGATCAATTGTTAAGTAACTTCTGAAGCATACAGCCTACCTTACAATGACCTTTTTTTACAATTTTGTCTAGGAAAAAAAGGCAAACTTTTAAATAAGTTTAGAGTCTGACCTTTTTAGCTCCATCGTGGAGTCTCTTTGCTCGCGAATAGTAACCAAGTCCTGACCACATCTCGTTCACTTCTTCCAAACTCGCACGCGACAAATGTTCAACAGTCGGCCATTTCTCCATCCAGCGAATGTAATACTCCTTTACGGTGGCGACCTGTGTTTGTTGCAGCATAACTTCAGAGACCCACACAGCATATGCACGCCTATTTAGATCAGGTTGAGACGCCAACTCTCTCCAGGGAAGCTTTCTGCAATTCTTGTCGTACCATGTCAGCAGATTGGCTCGAATTCGCTGGATTTCATCTACAGTGAAATCATGCGTGTGATCTTCTGATCCAACAAGCTCCACACATTTGTTCTTGGATTCTGTTTCTTTCTTAAATTTGCTCATTCTTTAGTTAGTCTTATCGCACAAGACGTCCACAATACTCGCAGATAGTTCAATGTGCTGGTGACTTTGGCGCGAACCAACCTAAACGAAATGCTACGTCACAGCTAGGCGGTCAATAACGCGGGCTCAAGCACTCGAGGCTGAAAATTCAGCGAACTTTGTGGAGAAGACAAGAAGCTACGCGCGTACGAAGCCTATGTTCCGGCCGGACTTGCAATCGAGAGGGAACGAATTAAAGGCCTTGTAGCTTTTAGGAAAATCGCTACCGAGTGCTATGGAGATTAAGACTTTGCAACAAGTTGATGCCATGACAAATTGGAAATACTAAAATCGCTAGCTGAAATGCAGGGCCAAGCGTTAAGTACCGCAACTAAGTCAACAGAAAAGGAATAGTCACTTTGTGACCATTTTTGTTTGTGACTTTTTTTGGCTGTGTTCCAACGCCGCAGAATAATAAGCGCATCCCTCGGGCGTTCTACAAAATCAGTGCTAAATAACATCCTGCGTTTATCAAACTTCGGGTTGCAAAATTCATCAAATTTTTACGCTTACGCTAATTTCTCAGCCTGCGCGAGCCAAATTCCTCTATTTTCCATTTCTGTGTCAAGTTTTGCCTCACAGTCGCTCATTAGATATTTGCATTTGAAGGCGATGATCTTTTTTTACAAGGTTTTCTCCAGCTTCCATCTGATAACAAACCTCTAAAGTCTTCTGCCCTGGAACGATATACCACAGAGGGCATTTTATGGATCGCAAGTTCTTCGGCTGATTGAAATTGAAGATATATGGCAGTGACTTTCATAAATTTTTTTTGTTAGGAAAGTATGGTTTTTTCGTCCGCTAAAGTAATCTACCGATAGATCTGATTGCCAATGTTTACATTGAATTACGTTAACAATTAAAGCGATTCACAGCGTTAGGTTCATGCCTTAACTAAATATTTTTAAACATTTTCGCTGGAATTGCATTTTAAAACTACGTCATGGAACGCAAGTTCTTCACTCTAACGGTCACAAGATGGGGCACGCTTCACGGTAACGAATGGAAATGTACGAAACGTCACAGCACGTGAAGAATGCATGAACAAATACCTCACAGTGGTGCTCTAATGGTTGGTTGATGTGAACTTTATACATAGGGGTAGGATTACTAAATTAAGAGGTTCTCCTCTGTAAAATATCATATACTTTGGCTGAAAACAAAATTTAAGGGGCGACATATCAAAAAATATTTACCAATTTCTTCATGGGATTTGTCGGTCAAACATACAACAAATTTATATTTGATGTTGTTACACTATAAGATCTCAAAACAGCCTTTTCATTCCCCACTTGTATGAGGCGTGGAAGGGAGAAGTTATCAACTGTTGAACTGTTGGTGAACAGTCAACTTTTTAGGATGTCACGCAACACTCCCTCCCTACACCGAGGGAAACTTTCTGTTGGGGTGCGCCTTGCGTGACATCTCAAAAATCATAGTGTTGATTGGTCAGCTGGTCCTCACAAGTCGCTCTCTGCTATGATTGGTGAAAATGTCACTAGGGGGTTCTTGGCGCATTAACAGTGCCCCGCTCTCTTTCACATTTGTTACTTGATCTTTGAACTACCTCACCTGAATTTCTGCATTGTGGACTACAAAGGAGACGTTTCGTAAATTTTCTAGTTCTTAAGCTCCTTATTGAGCGAGTTTTTGTTTGAAATGGCAGAAGAGATTCCAAATACTGAAAGGGTATTTTTCGTCTCGATTTCTAGCCATTTACTGTTTGCACTGTGCTTAATGGTCCTCACGTCTTGATCTGTTTTGTAGGTGGAGAAAGTTGGCGACTTGACCGTGTATGTTGTGGTACGTTTGCTTTTTGCCTGATATAATTGCGTTTTTAACGCTTATTTAAGTCTGAACGCATCGCATAGGCTGTTTATATTCGCGATCGGGAGCAGTGTGTTATTATTTTTAAATGATAATTTAAGTATACATGTAGTTTCAATTCTCCTCTGCTAATAAATTGAGGTCAAGCTTACGTACAGTTGTTTGATTCTCAGGGCGAAGATTCCAAGGATAAAAAAGACGAGAAGGAAAACATCAAAAAGAAGGAGGTCATGATAACATTTCATGATGTTGGAATGAACCGTAAGTCCTGTTACGTGGAAGAAATGTCCATAATGTGTGTCATGCTTTGCTTTGATGAACAGAACAATGGAAAGAAGGCCACCTTGCTCGCAATATGCGTTGTTGTTGTCGCTCCCGAAGCAAAATGTTTTGGGACTACTGTTGGTGATAGTCGAGCACCGCTTTTTTGGATTTTAAACGTAATCGTAAGGTATCGAGATTTAAATGTACTTCTAAAGGTGTTGTATCGTGGAAGGGGCATGGCGAGGCAACTAGGTGTTTATCATCTTTCCTCTGGTTTAGGGCTCTTCAGCAGACTTGACTTTACTGGTATTTAGCATGCATAGATCAGTGGATGGTCTGATTTTGAGCCCATGGGCTTTCCTGCCCTTTTTATGGCAAGGACTTAATGTAAAATTGTCATGCCGTTATGTTCTTGGTAAACGTCAATTTCCATAAATGGAGGTGTGTTGGAAGGTGTGTTGAAAGCACAGGCTCTTCTTAATAAACGGATTTAACACTAGTCATGTAGATATTGTGCTTAAACCCAGGACAGAAATGTTTTTGATGGTGAAAACGTCTACTTGTATTGGAATCATGCATTAAGTGTTTTCTTTAAAGTATACTTTTGTCTCACGTCAAAATAATTGTCATAGAGTAGTGGGCTGAGACACAAAACTAAAATTTTGCACAATATTTTTGATGAGTGGTAAGGAAAGATGGTGTGTATCAGAGGAAAGAGAGAATAGAGATGTACATTGCAACCTCAAACATTCCTAGTGAAAGCAGATATTGTGTGTTTTTGAAGTGCAATCAAGGGTGTAATATGAATTATTGAGATGATCACTAAAGGTTTAAATGGTATTTGTTGAGGTATGATATTGTTTGAAAAGCTGCCAATGCAAAACATGTGAAAAGCTTTACATGGTTCTTCAAACTTCAGCTTATATAAAGGCACCTGAATACACATTGGAAACTATTGCAATATTCTGTTTTCTCTCACTGATAAAATGTAGTCTGTCATTTTAGCAGACAATATCAGTTTGCTTTTTGACACAGTGACTGTAGTGAGACTTTTTTTAGTAACTGAGTCATTTACTCAGTTGAGTTAGAGTCTGTGAAAACTTTGAATTTAAGTTGTTGAAATGATTATTTGACAACAGCTCTTAAAAAGGTATCGCAACCATTACTCAAGACTATACAAATTCAGAGCAGTCAAGTCTTGCGCATTGAGCTTTAGACTCTTGCAAATGAATTCAATCTTATGCTCTCATGCTGAAACTATTGTTTCTTGTACATGTAAGGTTTGGAATAACAGATGGCATATTACTGCTTTAGTACTTACATGTATGAAACTAATCATCCTTTTCAATATAATTTACTCCTTGCTGCCATTGCACTTGCTACAAACATTTTCCAGTAGTAGGAGTTCTCATTCAGGATAAAGGAATGCAAGTGTTGCCTATTTAAATTTTTTTCATGATTTTCTGGGGAAGTATGCTCCTATTTCATATCACGAGGGTGAAGAGCACAGCATCACAATCAAATGTTTAAGAGGTGGAAAACTTGACAGCAAATCAACTTGCAAGCTCTGCAAATTGTATATAATTGAGGTAATAGGGTTAAAAAGGGTCCAGATCAATGGGTACAGCAAACTGCCTACTTAGTCAACATACTGTTTATGTAGATTTTTAATCACAAATGCTCAATTACCTGAACTAAAGGATACATCAATGTATTTAACATATATCTACAATTGAGCTTAAATTGCAAGTGTAATGTCACAGTTATAAGCAAAAATTTACATTTTCAGATAAAACATGCTTTGAAAGGTTCTTCCAACATGAAGATATTGTCCACCTACTGGATCGCTTTGTTATTTACCATGTGGATGCCCCAGGACAGGTATCAAAGTGACTATTGTGAATATTTTAGAGAACAATATACCTAGTTACACTGTCAGATAATCTCAAACTTCCTTCATCTCAAACTTAGCTTTTGATAAGAAATAAATGTCTCTTGGCAAACATACTTATATAAGAATGTCAGCTGTTGCATAAAATATGAAAATGGCATTGATTAGAGAAGAGGTCAAGTGGGTAACGGTCAATTAATGCTTGCCACCACTGAGAGTCAAATTGCCACTGATAGCTATTTCACTTCAACATTGTGTATAGCCTGCTGTATGAAACTTTTAGCAAATGAAAACTAATATGTAAATATATATATCACCAAAAGGGAAAGGGACTCAGAAGTTGTGTAGCCTCTCAATTATGGCACATTAACTTTTAAATGAAATAAAACATGTTGATTTCATGAAGACTGTTTTGAGTTTGCATACAATAAAACCAGAGTGATTTTTGCTGATGTGTATGAAATTGTGTGAAACTAAGATCAAGGCTAAGAAGTAGTGGAGAATTGCAACAAAAAGCATGCACAAATACAGTGAAGTTAACAAAAATGGACATGGCATCTTTTTTTGTTTGAAGGACAAAGAATGTCAATGTGACCTGTAACACGAGTTTTGTTCTTAAGAACACAATTCATAACAGGAAACTTCCCTAAGCTTGTACTTTAAAGTGAAACTTATTCAAGACATGATTGAAATAAATTAAAGTGAATCCACAAACAACTTCAACTTCAAAAAATATTTCATCAATCCAAGTGGGCTCCAAGATGTCACTGAGATATCTGATTCACACATTGTTTAATGATGATGTAGTTGTTACAGCTGTTTTAACCTTGACTCAAAAGGTTGTCAGTCACCATCTCCACTATCTATAGGGACTAAGCAAGAGGCAGGTCAATTGTAACCTCATTTCAACCTTTTCTTTTCATCAATTCTTGCTTCATTCCAATAATAGTACGTAAATTTGCATAAACTACACTGCACATAATGCATTCATTTTTAAATAAATTATTCACTGTTGGAGGAGAATTTATTTCCCAGAGCTGAAACTCTCAGGGTGGAACCTAACAGCAGTAGAAGTTAAGGGAGATATTGTTTTTGTAATTAAATGAAAGTACCAGATACCATTTTCAGAATTTGAAGTTGCCACTATTATAATGGACCCCAATAGTGACTGTTAAAGTAGGACAATTCAAAGAAGTTGCTGAGAAAGTTTCTGACTGATTAGGACATCCCTTAAAAGAAAAAGGATAGCACATATCTCAGGAAAAGTCTTGCTTTGTAGATTAGTTTTTATGTTTAAAAATTAAATGTAGTCTTATGTACTTTCTCCTCTCTGCTTTCTTGTAAAATTTGAGTTGCTATCATAATTATAGTAACCTTAAAAAGTAAATTTTACAGGGTGTTAATCATGCCCATCATATTTTTCAGGAAAGTAAGGCAGAAAACCTGGCACCTGAGTAAGTACATCAATTTTTTTTGTATTACAAAGAGTTAAACTAACCGGATGAAAGGTAATGAAGATGCGCACTGACATGCAAAAGTTAGCTCTCACAGCAAATTGACTAGTTTGTGGTGGAATTGTTGGGAAGAGCTCTCCAAATAAATCTCTGCTGAAAAGAGCTTTTTACATTTTTTTTTGTTGTCCCAAATGATATCTAGCTCGTGAATTATGTTGTATAACCATTATATTTTTTTGTGTACAATTATAGTAACATTTTAAAGTATTAGTTATTGAAGGTTTACCTACTGAAGCTTGTGCTAGTAACTTTTGAGCTACGTAATATTTTGTACAAAAGTTGTTGGCTTTTAGTTTACCAACTGAATGTAGGTGTCTTACTAAGGCAAGTTAACCCTACAAGCAAACAAGAGTTTATTCAACCGGTCATGTATGTTGTAGAGTTAGAGTGGATAGGAGGAGCAGGGAAATTTGAGAAGATGCCTGCCTGTGAGCAGCATTGTCTACACTCTTATCAACAACAGCAAATTAGCCAGTCAGATTGTGACTTGATTGCCAATTGTGGTATAATATAATTTTCACTAAAAAAATAATGAGCACTTGTGATTTTTTCCTCTTATTTTCAGTTATCAGTACCCATCCATAACAAAACTAGCAGAGATGGCTGGTAATGTGATTGACCACTTCAAGTAAGTTTAACCCTCTGTATGAATTTTGAGTTGGTGCATCCAAATGACAATATAAGAATCATTTCTTTTGTGAGGAGACCCACAAATTTTGAGGGAAAGGTCTCATCTTGAGGCAAGAGACTTATGTCTTGAGAATAAATGAAGCCACAGCCTGAAAATGAATCTCAAGTCATGTCCAGTGCAGAATGACTGGGGGTTCTGTTTTACTGCAAAACAAAGTTCTTGTCACAGCAGTGTCCAGTTGTGATGTAATACAAGGTTATATAGCGGGCCATAAAAAAGTTTTAATTCAGCCAAGTTTATAAATTCCCCGTCAGTGAACAAAGCAAAAATGGGAGGTTGGTTGTGATTGACCTTTACATCTTGTCATACCTTTTAACTTGTAGAATATGGTTTGTGGTACTGCATTTTAGTAATTGCTGGTGAATTAGGGTTGGTGGGATTGTCTTCAAACTGTGGTGACAGAGGGGGCAAGTTTGTTGTTTCATTGGGTCTTCCTGGTGAAGGGATTGGGAGACTGATGGTTTTCTGAAGTTATTGTCTGTTGTCTGACATGGCAAAGACATGATCTATACATGGCATTTCCAGCTCAGAGAGGCTTTGGGCTCTTTGTTTAGGGACTAAGACAATGCACTCTTGACTAGAGTAGACATCAAGATGTGACAGTTGTCTACATTGTGCATCTATGGTTGCAGCTACTTTGTCCACAGAAATTACCATGATGAACTGGTCATCTATATGCATTCCGGCTTGTCTTATACATGTATTTCCTACATGGTTTTCAGCTCTGTAAGGCAACAGACCATATTCAATTTGTTCAAATTTGGGGTCTTTCCATTTTTGAAAAAGTTTGTTTATGCACACAGGTATTTTTTTCCTTCTTTCAGCTTGAGTGATGTAGTTTGTTTTGGAGTTGGAGCTGGAGCAAATGTTCTCACAGAATTGGCAGTAAGTTATTTTCTTGCTCTTCAAATCCAATAGAAACAGTGATGTGGTTACTTATAAAATATTTTAGAAGGGGGCAAAACTGTGTGTAGTGCTAAAGTTATGAACAACACCACCCATGTATCAAACAGCATCTTAGCACTCTAGCTTTGGCTCCTCAATGGTTAACTGCGTTAAAACCTTTTATAATGATATTGAAAGCTGTGTTGTGAACAATGGATGGTCTTCCAAAATTTTTAAACCAGAAAGGGAGTTAGACAAGGCTTCTCTTTCTTGCCCCATCTGTTCATTCTTTGTGTGGAGATGCTAGCCAAAATAATAAGAAACACCAAAGACATCACAAAACAAAATCAAATTAAAAATCAAACAATACACTGATGATACAACTCTTTTTGCAGATGGATATAAAAAAATCCTTGTTGCTTTCTTTACAAGTCTTGGAAAGTTTCAAAAAAGTATCTGGCCTGAAGCTAAACCATAAAAAACTGAAGTGGCTCACTTTCGATTTGAGCAAACACTGGAAGGGATGAATTGCTCTTCCCTGAAAAAATTGAAATGGGTTAAGAGTCCTAGGCATCTGGTTTTCAACTAAACTAAAAGTAACTATGGAGGCAAACTACTCTGATAGGCAGCTGGGAATATGAATGATTGGGACTTCTTGGAAAGATTACATTGTTAAAGAGCTTGATAGCTTCCAATCTGGTTGACTTCCTGTCACCTTTTGCCGAAAAATTGTCATGTTCTAGTAGAATTGAGCAAATCTTCAATTTCTTATGAAGTGGTACAGGGGACAAATCAACAGAAATCTGACAATTGGCAACTATTTAGATGTGGGTCTAAAGATGATCAATTTACAATCATTTAACAAAGCACTCAAATCAGCTTGAGTAAGAAAATACCTTGACCCAGAAAATCATGCTGAATGAAACTACTTTCTTTACTCCAAATTGCAATATTTAAGTGGCCCTGCCATCTTTGGGGGCAACCTCAAAGGATACAATCAACTAAAATATAGCATCTGAGATCTTTTTATGATAGAAATCTTGCAAATCTGGTCAGAAGTCATTCTCGGAGACCCAGGGGCTGTGAGTCAATTTCAAGTCAGGGCCGAAGAACCCATGGAGACATTGTCTTACAAGACAAGTTCCAAATGGTTGCAGTTGTTCTGGCATCTAATTGGCACTAGAAAATCTTTGTGTTTTTCTGCCCAATCAGAGTGAAGTATGCTTTAGAGTCCTTTCGTGTGTTTTAACATGGAGATGTACAAGAAGCTCAGTTGCTCGCCTTGTTTGTTTGCGCCATTCAATGAAGCTTTGCCTGAGGTGAAAAGTTTCAGTCTCAGCACACAATGTAAGAGAAATCGATCAGATTGTCCGCAAAAATCTTACAAGAAATTATACTGAATACTTTTGCAGGTATCACAAGAGAATGTATTTAAAAGTTTGTGACGTTCGTAGAAAACATAATGGTTGCAGGCGTTAATATGTTGCTTTAAACATTAGACAAGATGTAAGTTTAAATATTTTTTATGAATTTTCGACCGGCCGAAAATTTGTGCAGTTAGGCGTTTCGTTCACATGGAACCACGCCAAACGTACAAAAATTTGGACACTCAAGCGTTCAAAAATTTGAACAGCAAAATCGAGGATTTTTAGCCGGTGCAGTCAATTATTTGACCACTGCGGTGTGAACACCTTTCACATCCGAATTTTTGTACAGTGAAGGTGCGGCTGCATGGATGCGTGGTAACTAAGTTAAAAAATATGTTTATAATTTTATATGAAGATGGAATGCAGTGCTCGGTAATATTACAGCTTTGGTACCAAATACATCTTACAAATGTGTAGGACATGCCGAGCTTACCACGCACGTAGGCGATGTTGTGTTGGTATCTTGTTAATGTTAGAAAATCAAGTTAATTGTTACTCCTCTATCTGTAAATCGAAGACGTCGAAGCAGCGAAAACACTGGATTAGACCTGGGAGGACATGACTTTGGTGGGACAATTTGGTCAACAATACTGTCATGTGGGATGAGTGGCGTGAAAACTTTCAAATGTCAATTAAGGAGAGTTTCATGAAACTGTGTGACAAGGTCAAACCTTTTCTGCAGAAGCAATCTACAAATATGAGATCTGCAATTGATGTTGAGAAGCAGTTAGCTGTAACTTTGTACTATTTATCGGATGAGGGGAGATACTGCAAGGTTGCTAATGCATTCAGCATCGGAAAATCAACTGTGTCTGAAACAGTCCGAAGAGTTTGCAGATGCATTTTAATCGTCCTTGGGCCTGATTACATAAGATTACCAAAATCAGAAGAAGAAGTGTATGACACAGTCACCAATTTTTATGATGCTCATGGCTTTCCACAATGCATAGGAGCTGTTGATGGAACACGTGTATTTATTAAACAACCCTGAGAAAATGCAACTGTTTTCATTAACCGGAAAAACAGATACTCATTAAATGTGCAAGCCAGCTGTGATTACAGATACTGTTTCACTGACGTCGTGATAAAATGGCCGGGGAGTGTGCACGACTCCAGAATTTTCTGTAATTCTAAAATCAATGAAATGTTAAGAAATGGCTCTATACCATCTTTACCAAAGGTTCTAGTGCCTGACACTGATCCTGTTCCGATTTGTGTGCTTGGGGATCCAGCATACCCACTATTGCCTTTTAAAATGAAAGAGTTCCCAGGGAGAGGTAGTACATCACAAGAGTAATTTTTTGGGTGGCGCCTTTGTTCTGCACGCATGGTTATCAAATGTGACTTTGGCAGACTTGAGGGAAGATTTGGAGCACTGAAACATGAGATGGACATAAATCTCGATGATTTACCTCGTGTAGTACATTCATGCTTTATTCTACACAGCTACTGTGAGGTGAATGGTGATCATATATCCAATGAGGCTATTGACAAAGCAATTAAGTACGACAGGGAGTTTCAACCTGGCACTACAGCTGCTAGGAATCAAGGTACAATGGCTATTAGGAGTAAGCAGATTCATAAAGTTTTTGTGGAGTATTTCAACAATGCTGCCAATTCAAATTGGCCAATTGCAAAGAATTTTCAAACAGGAAGTATATGACTTTGCCTGGTGACTCCTTCTCAGACGTTTGGTGTTTCAGAGATCACACCTAACCGGCACCATTCGACACTGTTGTAATTTTAAAATGTTCAAAATCACTTCTACCCTTGCCTTTGATATTGTCAGATAGTTTCCTGTTCATACCAGTACAGCAAGATATCAGTTCTGTCCACCTTGGGCATGTTTTTATTCCAAGATACTTGTGTTGATCTTGCTAGGTAATAAAATTAAGATGAAAAACATTCTTGTGATTGAATGTTATTCAACAAGCATGAACCTTATGAAGTTAGAAAGGGAGTACTTACAAACATGAAACTCAACAACTATTAATGGCAACAAGTAACATAGAAGAAATTTAACTAACTATATTGATGAAATTGCTCCTGGTACAGTATAATGCACACAAAAACGGAAAATCTCTGAGGTAAATAGTGCAATAACAAGGTAAGCCTACCCATGTCTTTCTGCCTAGTGAGTAGGCAAACTGGCAGTGCATATAATAAACACAACTCAACTTTGTTAACAGAGTGCTAAAACAGTGCACAATCCAACAGTTAGAGTAGACACAATGTGAATGTTAATGTTCAACACTTATTAAAATGAGAAGGATCCTGTAAATGCCAAACACCTGACATGTTGCTTTGCTGTTGCTGATATTGGGGATGGTTGTACTGCAGATGCTGGTTCTGCTGATGATTCTGCTGCATCATCATCCCCAGCATGGTAAATCCATTCTGCAATGTGGAGCTTAAGGAATGTAAACTAGCGGTAAAACTTTACATACTTTCCATGTATTTTTCTTCTTACTTTTCAAGCTGATCGATCATTCTCTTTTTCAACTGAAGTTCTTTGTGTCCAAGGGCTAATATTCCGTTTTCTGTTGTGGTTTTCTTCGTAAGCTTGGAATTTTTTTCTCTTTTAGCTTAGAAATTAAGTTTCTTCTTGCATCAACAGTTTTTTCAACTGCATCCTTGGCAGTTTCATCCTCCCTTGCAGGGTCATTGGCTTCATCTTCCAGAATCTACAGCTTTCCTATAACCAAACTTTATCTTGCTCAACTTCGCGTTTATCTTTTCTTTGGAGAATATGCTAGTATCCTTACAGTTTGGAAACTCTTCTGGGTCTACTTCGAATTCATCACTGTTTGGATATCTTTCAATGAAAAGTTCTTGTAATTCCTCTTACCTTGTTCATATCAATTCCCATTCTTCCCCCTCGCATGTTTTCTCATTTTTTATATGATAAAGCAACATTAAGCGGTAGTGCTGTCTCCTCATCCGTCCAAGTGAAATATTCGTTATCTGTGCTACCATCTGAATTGGCTTTTCTCTTTCTGGACGCCATTTTGCATTTGGTTAAAGAAACGTGCATATGAGGAGATGGTAAAACCACCGACAAGTGTCACGAACTTCATCCGGTTATCAGTTCCATCTGAACAGAAGGAAACTTTCACACGGTTCCGTGTGAACAGAATGTCCGGCCTTTGGTAACTCTCATATAGAAATTGGCAGTAGACCAGTTTTTAAAAAATCATGGTTCTCTAAGGGCATTAAAAATGTTGCTCACCAAACAAAAGATTCAATCGCATTTGTCTCTTATCACAAGTTTGAAGAATGCTCAAATTGAATTTTCTTATTTTTCAAGGTCTTAAATCTTTACTGAAGTCCTTATTTAAATTGCAAAATAGCGATTATCTTCTAAGGTGGAAAAAAAACAGTGAATATTTTCACAAATAGCTCTTAAAACTGAAGAGGCTAACAGAGTATTTTATGAGAGGCTAGTTCATATTAAACAAAAGCATCCTACCTAAAATCAGGAAAAATGTTCAGATGACTGCAAGTTTGAAAAGACAATGAAACCAAAAAAACTAAATTAGTTGCTCCTCAGTTTAAACTAGTACATAGGCGACTAGCAACAAATGATTTTCTAAGGAAAATTGGTATCAAAGATAAGGGCATGTGCACCTTTTGTGAAGCTGAATTAGAGAACTTAACTCACCTGGTTGATAACTGACAAAAACTCTGCAACAATACAGGATACAGACCTTATCTTATCCACCTTAATTGGTTTGTGACCAAGGGGTTTCATAAACCAAAAAAATCCATCTCTTTTTTTTGATTGCAAGATATATTCATCTGGATTTGTTGAATGAGATGGATCCCCAGGTTAGAATTTTTGTCTTTCTTTATAACCTCATCTATTGTCAGTAGGTTGTAGGGCTATGTAAACTTTAGTTTAAGACTTTTTACTTTTGTATTCTTATAAGTAATGTCCATATCATATTGTAAGTAATTTACATGTATTGCAAAATAAGATTACAACAACTTTGTCTGGATGGTAGCAGTGGGAATTTGTTCTTGGTAAGATCCATGATGTTGCAATGGATTAAAGCATATACTGTACCCTGGATTACTTTTTTGCAGTTTCTCATTCACCTATTACACCAAATGCTTTCACTAATCTTTTGCTGAATTTAAAATTTCACCCAATTAAAAGAAAAAACAGCTGGAAAAGTTGGGCTGTGGTCTTACTCGTTTTGTATCCAAATCATGTACTGAGAAGATCACAGATAAAGAACCATATGAGCTGATCATGATACCTGAGAGTACAATATTACAGAATTTGTTCATATTTAGCTACATGTATGGAGTTATGGATATATACTTTACCACACAATCATGCCTCACCTGAAAACTGTGACTAAATGACAAGGCAAAAATGACCAAGAAATATTCTGAGACCAAAGCTTTATACAAAGAATTGTAAATTTGTTGATAAGAAGCTGAAAATAAGCAACTGTAAGAGTTCATTACATGTAATTTATATTCTGAAACCTATGGTACATGTTTTTAAAAAAGTGTCTGTTCTCAAGCTAAGTGGCCATCCAGTCTGTAGCATGAAATAGAGTGTATTGCTACTCCCCCCCTGATGGGATGCTATTCCATGATAAGGTACCCCTCAGTATTTGTCATGCTTCCCTGACAGTCTGTTGGTACCCATTTTTACTCCTGAGAAGAGAAAGACTCTGCAAGAGAGTGTTTTTCCTATGAAAACATCCAATTTGAGATGAAAATAATATTAAGGTTTTCCAGCCTGGAGCTCCAATGAGTTAGATTGAAATCAATTTTTAATTTTAATCATGTTCAGTTGTCAATAAATTTGTAATAAAATGGCCTCTAATGAATATGAACAAGAACCTGAAAAATTTCTAGATCTTGTAGCAGCAAGCATTCCAAATATAATGTGATTGAATCAAACCACAGTAAACACACATGTATAAGCCACACCAACCTTTTTGTAACAAGTCAGGTTCTTCTTATCCATTAGAACATTTAGAAAACAGGCCACAAATTTGGGTATATTATTACTTTTAATCGAAAATGTAAAGGTTTGTTTAGCAAACAGTTTTTTTTGGTGTGAGTGTGAGACTGTATCAAAATACACTGCACTGCACAGATCCAACTGTGACATGATCTCATGGACACGGCAATAGATACCACAATAGTAGTGTTTGTATGGTTGATATCTTACCTGAAAATCCTAACATGGCTTTGAGGAATCAGCTAATCATTGATATTGTAATTTGTTTTTATTCAAACAGGTATCAAAATGGGGAGAGAAAGTTGCAGGACTAGTTGTGGTTGAACCAGGCATTTCTGCTGCAAGCTTCAAAGAATGGGGTGCAGGAAAGGTAAGTTTGGGTCAAGCAAACTACTTGACCTCCAGCCCATTCACCAAGTAGATTGTAAGAATAGAAGCCAGTCTGTCCACTGACATCTTTGATAAGGCATTGATTCATTTGCAATGTCTGAAGTTGATTTTAAAAATAGAGAAGCCCTGACTGTGCTCTGTTCTGTTGTAAAGTACGCAGGAAGCAGCTAGAGCATGAAAGAAGTGTAGGGGGAACAACAGTGTCATCTGCATGCTCTATACTCTCATAAAGTACACTACAGTAAGCCAATCAGAATCCCTGTTAGAATGGTTCAAATCTGATTGGCTGTACAAGACTAAAGCCGTCAAAAATGTTAAACCATCAAAGTTCAAAAACCATCAAAGTTCAAAAACCATCAAAGTTCATATTCTCTAATAGTTTACAAATTAAAATAGTTCAGCATGTCGAATTCAACACTTTCCTGAAGTTTTTTAGTTTCTTATACAGAATCTGAAAGTGAAATGTTCAGTGAAACTCAGCCCAATCATGGCTCACAAAAATACACAAGTTATTTCACATGACAAGTAGAAAACAAACTGTTCAAGGCGAGTGTTTTTATGAATGAATGACAGCCGAATTCACCAGGATGTGAAGATTGCTCGGAATGACAGTGCCATAAAACTCGGCTGCAGTGACTGACTGATGTGGCCTTCCACTCAACACATCAGAAAGGTTATCAGAGCAAGCTCTTATTTTTCCACTTGAAGGGTAGTCGATTTAATTCCTGAGGCTTGCTCCACCACAATGACCAAAGATTACCATCATGAGCTAGCCATGATAGACTTCAGTATGATTGTAGTTGCTCTGACACACCATCATGATTAGTTTGAATTTTAACAGTTATGCCAGGTTATATTTTTTATAAATATATATTGTTTTTTAGCACAAAACTTTATATACCATACAAGTGTTAGCTGTATTTGATTTTTATTACTGTACGTAAACTTACAATCTAACTGAACATGAAAACCCTTAAAACTCGGACTGTCCATTTTGTTTTATCTCTAAGGATTTTTTTTCTCTGCTCACATTGCAGTAACACAAATTACTGCACCTGGCATTTTTGTAAACCCTCTCTCACGTATTCCAAAATTTCACTTTTGATTAACAAAAGAAAAGCTAGAAAGAAGTCCCAGAAAAGTTGGACATAGTACAATTTGGCAGATGGCATGACAGCTTTAGCTCAGTTCTATGCTCTATACTCTCACAGAGCATGCTCTTTTAACCAATGACAGCACACGTTATATCCAAACTTTATTACAAATATGAATAAGCACCCTGGTTGGGTATTAAATCGTGCTTATCAAGAAACTATTAACCTGTAGTTAATCTGCTGTTGTTGCAGCTTAAAAAGATATAAATGAAGTGGCAACAGAAGCAGGTTTTTCTTGTACCCCTACTATTTGAGAAAGTGGGGGAGGAGGGGGGGTCAATGCTTATTGAAGAAGGAAACTTATTTAGCATTATGGTCTTGGGCTTGGGGGCTTATGGCGTCTGTGTGGTAATTACTAAAACAATTGTTTATCTCAGTGTTGGTGAAGAAGGTGGGTATTTACCGAGCAGCAAAATGGTAAATAAGACATCCACCACAATTCACCTCCACTTTGATGAGTAACTATTTACCACTTAAAGCTGTTACAGATTCCCTGAATCTCATCTAGCATAATAACAGAAGGTATATTTCATTACTTTTAAGTTTAGAGCACATCAACTAGACAAGAAAGGATTTACAGAAGATACTATCAAATACCTCATGTGGCACCATTTTGAGAGGGTATGTGATTGATTATGTTTTATCAACAGCTTCAGAGTCTAACAACTCCATTCATCTGTAATTTCACTGTCTCTTGAAATCACAGTTCCCAAAACAAGATTCATTTGAATTGAAATTGGAAATCCACTTCATAATACTTGAAAAAGACACGAAGTTCATTGATAATTTACCCCAAATAGAAGGGATTTCATAATTTTTCTAGTTGTATGGTGGGATGCGCAAAAATACGACAGGCCTTGTCTTGTAACCAGTAACCTTGCTATTAACTTTACAATGCAGCCATATCAACACAAGACCTTGGTTCCAATGTTACACAACACTCTTTAGCTACAACAATTATTGCAATGCCTTTCTTACCTAAATAGTTTTCTTGGTCTTTCTTTTATCTAATCTGTTTAGACTTTCATACTGATTTTTTTAAAATAACATCCACTGTGGCACTTTTTACCTCTGTTGTGATAAAGACTTTAATCTGGTTTCACACAAAGAAAGAAGCCAAACACGTGAAAAACTTTTTAGCCACTTTGTCTGTAGATTATGTATGATAATTTGCTAGCAAGAAATTTTCTCAAGGTAACAGTTTGGTTCCCCTATTCCCGATTCTCTGTTGTTTAGCAAGAAAGATGATAAGGAAGTTGACTGAAATGAAAATCATGGAGTTGAGCAGTTGTCTTGTGTTTAGATGAAATTCCACAAATTTCTTCTTCAGTTGGTTGTAGGCGGTAGTCATAACCTTTTTGTGTAACAGGTAGATGTAGATGTTGCAATTTAGCATGGAAGAGATATCATCTTGTTCTTTTACTAAATTACTGCAAAAAAAAAAACCTGAGGGTTAAATGATTTTGCTTTCAGGTTTACAGCTTTAAATTTTTACTTCTATAATGATAGGACTCTGGGAAGCCAAAAGTGGAGTTGGAAGATCAATTTATGAAGGATGTTAAAGAGCACATGAATCCACATAATGTGGCAGCATTCATTAAGGCCTACAATAGGTAAGAAAGGTTTTCATTATGGTCATTCTTCACTTCCTTTGGGAAATTATTGATTTCCCCCTTAATTTCCATTTTCTTAAATGTATAGCAGATCAGTTGCTGTATGTAATATTTTACCAGCACTTTACATTATGAATCCTGGCCACATTTCTATTTAGCATAGTTTTAGCTATTAAACAAGTCTTAAGGCTGAGGAACAATACTAACCAAATGCATAATACGCTGAAACCAAATGGAAACATACCTACAGAATTCAATTATATTTTTAGCAGCCAGGGGCCCTGTTGTGTGACTTGTGAGTCATGCATATGACCAATAAGTAGGGTTACGAAACAGTGATACATCTTTTTCGTGTAGTATAGAAACAAAGTCATCGCAGGGTTTGTATTGGATGCTTCTAGTAAATTCTGTTTTGTGATTTTTCAAAATTCCCCTAACTCAGTGCATTTGTTGCTTTCAGTCGTGGTGATCTAATGAAGGACATGAAGGGCCACAAACTTGAGTAAGTTAAATTTACTTTAAAAATGGCTCAATTTGAACTTTTTCTTTAGAAGTTTCTACGGGATCCTGTGAAAAAGTTACTTTTAACAACATTCCAAGCTATTAATTTTACATTGGGGGATTGAGATGAAGCATGCACCTCCAAACTGTGTTGTCTGCTATACTCTGGACTGTTACAAAGGGATCTCATTTTCAAAACCAATCATAGAGCACATTGCACAGTATCCCTTTTTCTCTTTATTTGGCCTAACGTGTGGCAACCATTTTTGTAGTTTGAATTATTTTTTATTTTTTATTTTTTTATTTTTTTTTTTGGCATTGGTCAAATTTTTTATCATTTTCTCTAACAGTTAATATCCATTTTCATTACACCTTTGTTTTAGCGCAAAGACAGGAGTCCTTGTGGTGACTGGTGAACATTCTCCTCACCGCAAGAATACGGTAACCACTTTCACGGCTGGCCTCACTCAACTGGGCTCACCCCGTACTTAAAAGTTAAACCATTCTAAGTTTGCTGCCTTAGTAAGCCATTCTCACAACCCTTATGCAGCCTGCTTACATCATTAACTGCAATGAATTTATGTAAATTGTTTGTTTACTTTGGGTGAACCTTAATCTCCAGAATTTCATCCCCATGCTTAACCAGATTTTGTTAAGGTGACTTTAACTTATAGGAGGTCTTACCAGTATTTGATTTACAAACATGGCATCTGTCTTACTCAATAGCCAGTCTGTTCAACAGTAAACAGGAAAGTGGTCACGAATAGCTTTATCTTGAACTAGAATGTGATGAGTATACATAATTATGGCTTGGCAAGGCGAAGAGCACAGAGTGCAATAATATTAAAGGCAATGAGCAGGATCTCACTACTACGCCACCAAACCATGAATTACCCATTTAAGTACCTGTACAGCTGCCTGATATGGCCTACAAATATACAAAAGCAAACAATATGGAATAGGGTACCCAATAAAAGATTTACCTTGACGGGCAATGGATGAGGTACTGCTGGGGTTTGTTACAAATGATGAGATGGCACCCCTTGCTCTACACAAAGTAGTAAAAAATGATGTAAAATGAAATTGATGCTATTATATAAGGACAAAATATTTGTTTTTGGATGAGTGAATGAATTGACTGTCTGAGATTCAGAGAAATAGTGTGACAAATTGATAGATAGGTAACATGAGCAAAGTAGATTTGAATGTTATTCTAAGTATCATTAGTGTGACAAATTGATAGATAGGTAACATGAGCAAAGTAGATTTGAATGTTATTCTTGGTATCATTAGTGTGACAAATTGATAGTGGTAACATGAGCAAAGTAGATTTGAATGTTATTCTTGGTATCATTAAGGAGCATGTGTTAATAAACTGTCCCCACTGACTGACTGCTGTGCTTCATGGGATCAGCACACAAAATAAGCAATTTTAGCTCTTTGCGTTATGCTTTGCAGGAAGATAAGTTTTACTATGGTGACGTACTGAAGCAGACAGATGTGAAAATCAAGAGTCTTCTCACCCCTGACTGTGGAGCTAGTGTCTTGGAAGAAAAGGTCTTAAAACACTCAACAATCATTTACTCATTTAGCCTGAGTCAAACTCTCTGACTATTATTCTTTGAACGATAAAATTAAATGTATAGCACTCTAAATAAGCAACAGCCATATTTATTTACACCCATGACTTGGTTGATCAAATTTTGTTCTTGGATGGATTTTTCAGTCATGAACCCCCATTTATGCGGGCCAATATACACACTGTGTGGTCATGCACATTGTGTCCACTTAGATTGTGTGTGTGTACACACTGCGTAGTTTTTGCATTGTGCTTTAGTAATGCTGGGTACACGTGTTTAACATTTCTCTTACTCTAAGAAGGTACATTTTTCATATATATTTTTCTATATTTAGCCACATCTTGTTCAGATTCCAATGTGGTTTGTTTCTGCTAGAGACCTAACTGCAGTCAGAAATTGATAAAATTCTTTATTGTGGTTAGGTGAGCCCAAATGATCCAATTGAAGCCAGAAATTAGCTTCTCCGGAATTTCTAATTTTCTTGTACAAAGAATATACAATATTATGAGTCTTCAACTTCTGATCATAATTTTTGGGTATGAGCGGAAAATGAGAAAAATGTGTTTGCATAACTGCGTGATACTTGCTGACGGTTCTTCGTGAGCCTCATGCTTGGAAGAAAATGCCATTATACAGAGAATCACAGCTTAACCAGTGGTTGAAATAAATGGATTTATTAACGGTCCATTTCTCTCCAAATGCAGCCTGAGAAGATGGCAGAGGGACTGCTGCTGTTTATCCAAGGACTTGGACTGGGTAAGATTTTAGTTTTAACCTGCAGTGAAGAAATTATAACGTAAAGAGTCTTTAATGTCTTTATCAACTGTGCAAAGTACTTTCCCTTCTTCTGATGATTTGTTATTGGACTGTGCCAAAGCTAAGATTGCAAGCTGTGTGTTCTAAACCTTTCAATTGAATTGTTTTTGGCAGTCTGGCGTTCTTCTTAACCGAACCAGGCGTTTGCTATTTTTCTTTTACTTGTACTTAGTAAATTGCGATTGTCGTAACTCACAGGCAATACGTAGACTAACATTCCTCGTAAAGCAGCTAATAATGACTCAGCAGGCCAGGGAGCACAGAGTTCACCTAACTGAGCAATGAGCATTGATGGGAGAGTTGGTCTGAGTCAGCCACGTTTGTGGATTTTTCACCAGCACTCAGGGCACTTCAAATATATGAGAATCTTTCCTCCTTAACATTCTCACCTTACAGTGGTTACTGCATCCTACAAAAAATAGAACTGCTTAGCTATAAACCCAGTTAGTATTTGGTGTATCTGTGTGTGTGCACTTCCACACATTTTACCCAGATAATCTGCACCTCTTCTAAGGTCTGCCCTTTTTTGTTGTGACTGGTTTTTAACAACTACTCGATAACCGAGAGTGAGGTCTTTACGGGAATATCTCAAACTGGGGCCTTGCCGTATTGACTACGCTATCGCTCGATCATTACAGCGAGGCCGAGGTTCGAGATTTTCCTGTAACAACCGAAGAGTTGCGGTTGTCAAGTTATTTACTTTATGGCCTACGAACTGAAGAAACAAAAAATGTATTCAACGGAAGTCGTCAATTTTCATCCGGTGATGCGCGCGTTTACCTATTCATTCGTCGACTCAAACCCACGGTTAAACTACGCAATCATGGAACTGCAACTCTGTATCACGTATAAAGAAACATTTATTTGCGGGAAAAATGATTCTCAGAGCCTTAAAAAAAGTATTTCAGTATAGTGGCGTCACGTCTTAATGTGGGAAACTTTGTCCGATTTCAAGGCAAAACACCAACTGGAGTGCGTACAGAAGGGACAGAAAAGTGCCCGATAATAGTTCAAACACGTCCAGTCCTCGGTGAAAGAAAATGTAAATGCTTCAGAATGCACTTTTCAGAATACACTGTTCAGAATCTTCGCCATCGCTTTTCACAACATATCACCGCCTTCTAGGAGACTTGCGGATGAACTGAGCCTTACAAGCCTTTGAAGATCTAAAACTTCATGAGGTATCAGAAAGACTGCTGCCAACAGAAACCACTCCATTTTTAACATCTGATGTTCTTGGAAGTTGAATTAAGGTCATCTATTAGCGAGTGAATGTATTTTTGAGATCTACTAGGCTAAATGTGACAACATTTAAACCTTCGGTAACTGTTTAGACTTCTTAATAAGCTTTTTGGCGTTCTTCTAAGGATGCATAACAGATCTAACGATGGTGCTTTCCACACCGCGATTTAAGCCGTAACTATAAACTTTACACGACACGGCAAAAACGGCCCCTTTAAAAAATTTATGTATGAATAATTTGTGGAAAGGTTATCATGTCAATCATAACTTTTCAATGATAAATTTGTATGGTTTCTTAAATTAGATGTAAGGTCGAATGTTTGCCTCGTCCCTTCTAGTATAATGTCGTAGCTAATTTAAAACGGTACCTTCGCTGTTCTTCTAGAACTCGTGGGCATTATCACTGTCTAATGCTTGAACTTATCTCGCTTGATATTAAAATACAAGTTATGGTCAAGGCAAGGTGACGCGATTGTAGCATGTGCAAAACTTACAAGCATGTTCTTTCTTTTTCTTTTTTTTTTTCTCCTCTACAGTCCCAACACTGCGAACACGTTCAATGTCTCGAACCAGCTCAACATCATCTACAGGATCTAGAACCCAGTCCATGAGTGAGGATTAGGTCCAATTTGATGACTATTTTGGTCCCATTCCAGTAGATACATTTGTGAGTTATGGAATGTGAACTTGGATTTAAGCACGTCTACAATGATTATTTTAACCATGGATGTATGATGTGGATAAAAAGTAATGCTAGTGACGTAGATTGGCATTCGATAAGATGATTTGTAAAAATTAGCTCTGAATGCTGAACCAAACTTGATAAAATGAAAGGAAATACTCTCTCGTGTTTTTCTGCTCTTTCAGAAGCTTCATAGCTAGTCAGTCTTAAACCAGTAGAAAAATGTAAGAATGTGAAGTAGAATCATGTTTGTCATTGTCATGGATACTTTCTGTTTTATGTAGTCATTTCACTGCAGCCTCAAAAATAAAATTTGTGACTAGTTCCTCTTCCTTGTTTAGTAGTCTACTATTGCCCGGTTCCATCTAGTTTTGCAAATCTCATGCTCATGTGTAGCAGGCTCGTCCATGATAAATGTAAAAATGCCACTTGCCTTCGCTAATACTGAGGTCGGAATGAACGCTGGGATTGGCTAACCTTGTACCAGGTCCCTCAAGAGGCAGGCTATTTTGCGCGGCCTCGATCATTCTTGTCGTGTGAGGTACAGGGTATAGAATGAAAGCTTCGCAAATTCTTTTAAAGTTGTATGTTTGCAAATCTTTTTTCTTTCCCTGATGGGCTGAGGAAATCATTGATCTGTGTGGGAAGGTAGAAATTGACCGTAGACATCAGTACAAGGGTAAAATATTTTACCGAAAACCTTTTATTTCCAATTCGTGTGTCGTGGTGCAGAAGTCCGTGGTAAGTTGTTACACCATAATTCCGTTTCATCCCGGTCAGGGTAGACCTCTAGGAGCGCAAATGAAAACTGTATAGAAAAGAAATAATAATAAAAATACTCAGCCCGAAAATAATGGAAATTTAAAACACAAAGAAAAAGCGACGGAGTAACGAGAAATGAGATTCTCAAATGCGACAAGGACTATCGCTGGAATATGAAGACAAAAGATACCGGCAAGTGAGGCTTTACGACAATTGGGAAATAATTTGGACCGTTAGATATAATTTCAAGAGTTGATATGTGCTAAAAATGTTGTTCAATCATAGATTTGTCTTTAAATTATTTTAGGATTTTCAATATGACGCTAAGCGATTTTATGACCATGGAGTCATGAAAACAACGATTCCAGCATGGTGAATCTATCGCACGGGTCTGGTGAATGTAAAAAATTCGTTGTTTTTGCATCTGAACGGTCAATTTTAGCACTTCGTATTTGTAATCGCATGGGCCTGAGGGCAATTAAATGCCCTCTGTCTCAGCCAATCAGCATTTTGTACTTTTGCCCCGCATGTGGTGAATTGAGTTGAAAGATATTTCTAGCTAGGTCACTTTTTTGCATTCTAGTTTTTGGTACCAAACAATTATCTGGTAACCCCGACGAATTTACATATCGACTGTGCATGTTCAGCGATTTGTGTCTTAAATATTTATTTCTAAGAAAAACTAAAGGAGAGAAGCAGTCCTTAGAAATTGGGCCAGGAAGAGAAAAACGAGCGGGATTGTGCATCAAGAAAACTATGATACAACTGTGATGGAACCTGAAAATTTCATGGACAAAACGTTTTAACTCGAAATGTAAATAAAAGATTTTGTTAAAACTTACGTATCTTACAGGATATCTTCATTTGTTGCATGTTCTCCTCGGCCCATCATGGAGCGAAAAAGGGTCTACTGAAACTGTTTCTTGTCACTGTCAATATCACTGTCAATACTTTCCTTGTCACTGTCATTGTCACAGTCAATCTTGCTTTAAATGTCACTGACAAGGTCTTTGTCACTCTCACTCTCACTGTCCTTCATTTTTGCCCCACGCCGCGCTATCACCCAGAAGAGTTCTTCAAGCTCAAAAGAAAGGCCAGAACGGAGCAGCTGAAAGCCTTCGCGAACTATTTAGAGCACAACTGAATCGTCACCAACACCTGGCCGCCGTCCTGTTGGAGTGTGTACCTAAGAGCCATCCGGACCAACAACGACGTAGAAGGATGGCACAACGGGCTCAACCGACGGGCGCAGGTAGGTTAATTATTTGCTTGTCATTACGCTACGGTTCCTCGGTTTTGTCGCACATTTCCTCCTTTCGAATTCGGGTGTTATTTCCATATTTATATGTATTTTCCTCATTTGTTTCTCAGGGAAAAAGTCAGCTTCCCCTGTACATGCTGATCCAGCTGCTTCACGGAGAGAGCCGCTTAACGACCCTCCAAATACGAATGGTTTCGGAGCACAGACTATGCAGACTTCAGCGACGAACCTACGGGCAGCTGCAAGCAAAGGTCTTCAGTCTGTGGGATCAGTACGAGAACGGTGATCGGACAGGGAATCAGTTGCTGCGAGCCTGCTCCGAACTTTACGGGCCGCGAGATTGCTAGCAACCCGATCGTCGAACGACCATGTAGCCTTTCGGTTCGATCAAATACAAAAACGGCTCCTGTAGGAGCCACCCAATCTATGAAGGTCATGACCAACAAAAGTTCTCTGTATTTCACTGTTTGACCACATTATTTCTTGTTTCCGGTCGCCCCAGCTCCCACGCACATATAAACTTTCAAAATGGCCGTCGGTCAATTAAAATTCAAAACTTGTCTTGGTTCTAACTTGTTTGCAATGTTCGATAGCAACTAATTTAGACATGACTCAATCTGGGGGCGAACTCGACTTGGTGGGGTCGAACTCGAAAAGTGTGGGGGCGAACACGGTATAAGGTAGGGGCGAACTCGATAGGGGGCGAAAGCGGCGGATACCACCATTTTCTTCCTGCATAATCCTATATTTTGATTTTGCAGAGGTGAAAACAGAAGACTTTTCACTAATGTTAACAGCCATTGTTTTTTGGTGCCACTTTGCCACTCCTCGGAGAGTACGAACGGAACATTTCATCAGCTGTGGCCCGTTCACTTCTGGGTGTCAAATTGATGCCTTCTTGCTTCAGAATCGTCGCCTTGGGGTAAGGAAATTGTAATGAGTGTAGCGCAAGATTAGGCCAAAGTTTGCGATCAATGAAAACTAACATCATGAGGTTCATGGTAGGCTTCTTGTCCTAAATCCCAGATAATCCAGTTCATCTTGTAAATCTACTGCCGGCTTCCGTTCTACGAAAGCGCTATGGTTTTTTTTCTTCCACAGAACATTATTTCTTCACTTATGTTTTCTGTCTGGACTAGCGATAAAGCGCTCGGTGTTTTGTCAGTTGATCGATGGTCCCTTAAAATCTCGACGATCGAAGTTTGATTTTCTTTTAAGCCGGTGGAAATCGAAGCCATCTCCTAGATATCTTAGCGGTTGTTTCGTTTCGTTATTTTTTTGTTTTTGTTTTCCCTTTTTCGGATTTTAGTACATGCCCATAATGTCGGCCCGTAAAAAGGTCATAGCTACCACAACGCCACTATCAAAAAATTTTCTACACATTTTTATGCACTTTGTTGTTATCGTCCAGTCAAAGTCGCCTGGGCTTCTTTAGACTTTCGTAAACACCCTGCATTTTCTCGCGTGAAAATTGAAACAATTGTTGGAAAGAAGGCTGAAAAAATTTAAGCGTTGACGGGATTCCTACCCGTGCCTCCCAGACAATAGTTGGGTGCTACTACTTACTGCGCTGCAAAGGCACATGTTGGGGGAGAGGGAAATTTTAGTGAGTTATTCGTTCCCGTATGATATGAGGAAAAACGTTTCATATTTTGACCTGCGGATGAAATACAAGTAAAGAAGTGATCATCGCAATGTACCAGTAATAAAAGAAATTCCCCGGAAGAAGCCTGAAATTTCCAAGACACTTTACTGTCACAGTGCCTTTCTCCGCTCAGTGGGGAAAAGTTAAACTCCTAGTCGCTTCACGCTACATATAATAAACTCTAGGTGGGGAATAGGTTTGTTTTCATCTTTACTATTTACCCTTCTCAATTTCAGCACACGTCACAGTTAAGTTGACAATGTCCATTTAAGTTGTCATCATATTTTGCTGATATGCTTCCTTGTTATGGGCCGCACGGTACATGGCGCATATTATTTGTGTGATAGCTTTGTCCAGTGTTGGACCTCCCACAGAATTCGAAGGTAAGATAAAACTATTCTGAGGAATTATACTATTCTTTCTGTGCTGCCAAAAAACAATTCTTTTCTTCCAATTAATTATAGCTATGAAATCATTGTTTAAATTGGCGTCACGTCGCGCTGTCTTACCACCTACGTTTGCTGGACAAACACACTCACTCGATGAAGTTAATGGACTGTTTCGCTGGGCTTTGAACTTATTAGCGGCCCCATCATTGAAAAAAAACACTCTCCGGTTTTGAACTCATAATCTCTGCAATTTGTGTGCATTGAAACACTGATTTCTTCAAATTCATCAATTAAGTATGAAAACGTGAAGGTCTGAAGATTATAATTTGTAAAACACCCGTTAGGACTGGTTAAGAACACGTGGTTTCAAGATATGATGACGCATATCATACATTCTGTTCACAGTCAAAGTGTCAAAGATTTAAAAAATTGTTCTTTTTTTTACACTGAAACTTTTCTTCATTATTAGGGCTTGCCAACTCGCCTTGCTCATGGATGCCATTCACAGTGGTTCGGGAGATGTGATAGGAAAAAAAGCAACATTAGTGTTTAAAACACTATCTGCTAAATACTGAAAATTCCAAAGGCTTCTTGCAGAGGTTTTCGTTCCCCACTGTTTCAAATTTTCCAATCGGTAATGAATACTTTATTTTTATAGAATTTACAGCATCTTTAGGAGGGTTGGTTATCAAATAAGGTGAAGCTAACCGTGTCCAAAACGCAAGCCGCAAAATTACGTGACTAATACACGTTACAAAAAATCACCTTTGTATGTGATTTCATTTTTTACCCGGTCTTCATTCAGGCGATTCTATTGCCTCGCTTCCATTGTTTTGAATTGTGTGAATTTTTGCGTTATTGTTAACTCATTGCAACATGTAATTTTATTTGGACACTACTAAATACTCAGGATCAAGCTTCTGGTTGTGGTGTTCCTACAAATACTGATATCAAATCCATGAAGGGAACTTTGACATAAGCATTTGGTCATAAAATATGTGAGTTTTACAAAGTGGGAATCTGAAGGGCAAGGATTCCCCCAACTAGGACTTAAAATGCAAAGTGCCTTCCTTCCTCTTTTTTCCTTTTTTTTATGTTAAATTTGTCTCGTCTCATTCAATCTTTGGGGAACATCGAGTAGCTTGTTAGTATCTTTATGCAACGGGAGTTTAAATCAATTTGCATCTGCATGATGCACTAAGAAGAACACGTGTGCCTGAGCATTAAAGGTTACAAAATAAAATTAAAAATTTTTATTGGAGCATTGTCCTGCTTTTCACTCTCCTTTGGATACTTCTACGAGTAACCTAGTCATTATTACTATCACGTTCACTCTCACTGTTTAGAACCAGGGGAGATGAAAACCCCTTCATTTGTTCAATAAACAAAGAAAGCCCGCTCTCTTACTGCTAAAAAACAACAGCTAATGAGAAGCTCTAAAAAAGTGAAGGTCAGTAAAGTTAATAAAATAGAGCCCCGCTTTCAGGCTTGGCTAAATCCATACCTATCAGTACTGTTCTACATGGCTATCATTTCTAGCTTGCTTTGAATGAACTGTTGAAATCTCTACAGCAGTTTTAAGAAAGTTATTTGGCTAGACCTACCTGTATAGTGCGAAACCGCTTCATTGTAATTTACTGATAAAATCATTGCTCATCTTTTCATGGATGGACTTTGCATTTGCCACATCTGGTGAAAAAAGGATATGGAAAGGTTACACTACAATAACTAAGAATGAAGGCATAACTGGTAACACTGAGTTACTAAGAAAGTCACCTTGGTACGAAGTGGCGATGTTCACCCTCAGCCTGGACCAGTTAAACATTCGGATTCAAGTCAAGAACGCCATGTCACCTTGGCCCATACAAACGCTCGTTCTATCAAGAACAGAAATCACTTTATTCTTATTAAAGAAGTCGTCCTAGCTAAAAAATTTTATATCCTATGTGTCAGCGAGTCTTGGCTGGACAGCTCCATATCTGACATCGAGCTAGATATTCCTGGCTACAATATTTATCGCCTTGACCGTACAAACAAACCCGGAGGCGGCGTTTGTACCTTCGTAAAACAAAATCTGAAGGCAGAATGTCTGCAACACCTATCATCTATCGCAAGCTCAGGCCTCCACCAGCTGTGGCTTAAAATTCAAGCAGGCAACTACAGGTCCTTCCTTATATGTACAGTTTATCGACCTCCGTCTTCGACTCTCGATTGCTTCGACAACGAGCTATGTGATGCCCTAACCTCGGCGATGCCAATAAATAAGCCTATTTACATCCTGGGTGACCTGTAAACTGCAACTTGTTAAACTCATCCGATCCTGCTTCTCAAGCCCTCGTCAATTTCTGTACGTCCTTTAATTTATCTCAGATGATAACACAACCAACAAGGGTCACAGAGTCGTCTGCAACCTTGATTGATGTTATCCTGACCTCACATGAAAACTTAATAATCGACACAAAAGTCATGCCTTCTTCCATCAGCGACCACGATTTAATCTATGCCGTACTTAAACTCAAAAGGCAACGTCCTAAGCCAGTATATATCACGACAAGAATTTTCAAGAACTACCAGCAAGATGATTTTCTCCGGGATATTTCAATGGTTCCTTGGTGCATCGTCGATTGTTTTGATGATATTGACGACCGCGTCTATGCTCTTAACACATTATTCAGTGAAGTCCTTGACAAACACGCACCAATCAAAAAAGTCAAGATTCGAGGAAGACTTAGCCCTTACATAACTGACGAGATCAGAGAGCTCATGAAATCAAGGGACCGGTGGAGAAAGATAGCAAGAAGAACAGGTAAACCTGATGCTTGGACCACCTATAAAAACCTTAGGAATGACGTCAAGAGAAAAATAAGATCAGCTGAGCGCGCTTTCGCCGCGGACCAGATCACAAGCAATCCCAACAACTCAAGCCAGTTGTGGAAGACTATTCGATCTTTCATTCCAAAAAAGTCTGCCAACGTGAGATCATTTAGCAAAGATGACAGGACCGTCGCAAACGATTTTAATCGGTTCTTTACGTCTGTTCGCCAAGTTGCTGTTGACAAGATTAATTCACTTGCTAATGAATGCAATTTTGATCTTTCGCCACCTGTGCCTGATACTGCAATTTCCCCAGTGACTGATCAATTCAATTTTACGCACGTGGATTGTTATGAAGTCGCCCAGATTGTCAGGTCAATGCCAGCTAATAAGTCATCTGGGATTGACAGCATTCCAGTACGTGTAATCAAAGATAGCCTTCCTGCTACTCTCCCAGTGATTACATCCATAATCAACGCTTCTTTCAAGCATGGAAATTTTCCTCGATCTTGGAAATTAGCCGTCGTGTCGCCTATCCTAAAAGATGGAAATCACGAAGAACCTAACAACAATAGGCCTATTTCTCTCTTGCCCGTCCTTTCGAAAGTATGCGAAAGGGTGGCGCTTAATAAAATTATGCCTTATCTAGTGTCAAATGAAAGGTTATCTACTCGGCAAAGTGGCAATAAGAAATCGCAGTCTACGGAAACCTCTTTAATACGAACTACTGATACTCTCTTAAGTGCGATCGACGAGAAGAAAGTTACCGCTGTTGTTTTACTTGATATGAGCAAAGCCTTCGATACCATAAGCCATGGAATATTGCTCAATAAACTGTTGAACGTTGGAATCTCACCATCA